CAGCTGTGGGAGCTCCTTCAGCCCTTTGAGACGGTTGCCATGGGCGCTGTGTCTGTAGCCATGCCACTGGGGGAGGGGATTGGATATTTCGTGTATTTCCACCAATGTTTACCAAGCGCTTGTGTCGGCCTCTGGGGGTCCTCACGGTTCTGGGTCAGGTCTGGGTGCTCTGTCTGACGTTGGTATTTTGTGTCAACCTCAGAGGCAAAGGGCTGCCCCTCAGGAGCCCTGGGCGGGCCAGCCACGTGGGGGTTCAGTGGGCCAGTTGCGCAGAGGCAGACAGGAGCCTCAGGCCCGAGCGGACCAGCCTGGCTGTGCCTAGCCCCGAGATGCACGGCGTCCCTCTTTGCTCACTCAGCAAACTTGGGCCTTCGGGCTCATCCTCCCAAAAGGGACCCTGGGGCGGGTGGCTGAAGGGGCTCCCCAGCTCGGAGACGCCCATCCACCGAATTTGTCGTCCCCAGGGGCCACCAGGGGCGAGCCAAGAGCAGGGTCTCCCTGCCCAGGCCCTCCGTGCCCCTCTAGCCCATTCCTAACGACCCTGTGATGGGGGGGTGGCCACACCAGCCCCCCACTCCGGGCTCTCGGTCTCACCCAGCGCTCTGCAACGTCTTGAGCACTCAGGTGCTAGGCTCAGCCAGCCCTCTGGGAGCCACCTGTCCTCCCCCCGCGCCCCACCCCCAACTCACCTGGACTGTTCAAGACGCTGGGGGGTCAGGACCCCATTGCACAGGCCGGGAGACAGGCCCAGAGGGGGCCTGCGTCCTGCCGCGGTCCTAGGTGGGGCACGGGGGTGTCCTCTGGACCCACCCAGCCTCCTCCCTTTCTGGTGTCTTGCAGTCCTGGTGCCAGGGACCCTGGGTCCCCCCAGTGTGGTGGACCGTCACCTGCGTGGCCCAGCTCCCAGGCTGGGGCATGCGACTGGGGCTCAGGGTGCCCCTGCCCCCCTCCCCCCTTCATCTGACCTGGGAGAGGAGCTTAACGTTTCCATATAAAGGAGACGCGGGGCTTAAGGTTCGTCTTCGTGTCAAAGTCACGGTCTAATCTGGGGCCAGGAAGCCCCACCCCAAGGCAGCTTGGCCCCCCAACAGCCCCAGAAATATCTACACATCTTCCCACTCTTCCTCAGAGACCCCCAGTCCACCCCACCCCCATCTACTACTAGGAGCCCCTACAGCAGGTTAGCAGGGACTGAGGGAGAGGTGTGGGGATAGAGCCCAGTCGGCCCAGGACACACTCAGAGACGGGCAGGAGAAAGATGACAGGAAGCCGAGAGAGAGGGGGACAGAGCCCCAGAGAGAAGGGGAGAGAGTCCCAGGGACAGGGGGACAGAGCCCCAGAGAGAAGGGGAGAGAGTCCCAGAGGGGACAGAGCTCCAGGGAGATCTTGGAGGCGGCAGTGGTCAGAGGAAGGAGACAGATTGAGAGAAACAGCCCGAGTTTCTCCCTCCGAGGAGGGCAAGTGCCACCCTGTTTCGACATGGGGACCCAAGGCGAGCAGACAGACAGGAAGAGCGGGGCTCCCTGCCGGCAGTGGCAGATAGCGGGGTGGGTGGGGGAGCCCGGGGAGCCGGGGCTGGCCCTGCAGGCACTGCACCGGGGCAGCCTCTAAGTGGTCAGTGACAGCCACAGTCAGGGTCTCCTGGGGGTTGGCAGGGACCGGGCAGAGGCCTGCCAGAGGGTGTGCACGGGGCAGAGGCGGGTGTCAGGAGGTGGGCGGCTCAGCACGTACCTGGGGGGGCAGCCCACCCCCATGCCATCCACTGGGGGCTCCGCTGGGCCAGAGGCCTGTGTGTGGGTGCCGAGGGCCCGTGTGCCGGGCGCCGGCCCGAGTCCACAGGCGGATCAGAGGCCCGGACGGACGTAGGGGGACAGGGGGTGGGGCCAGCTCAGAGCCGCAGCGGGGAAGCCAGGGAGGCCAGCCAGGCCGGGTGCTGGGCTGCAGCCCAGGGAGGAGACGACGGTGGCAGAGACAGAAGTGGGGGGCAGGGACACAGTGGGGGACAGGAGACGGGGGGCACGAGACTGAGGATAGAGGAGGAGCGCGGACAGGTTGGGGACAAAGATACGGGGGACAGAGCGATGAAAGGGGCCCTGGTGGCACAGTGTTTTGAGCGCTCAGCTGAGAACCGGCAGCTTTGTGGGAAGACCCGGCGCTCTGCTCCCATGAAGATGGCCGAGCACACCCTGTGGGGCACTCCTGCCACACGGGGCTGCTAAGCTGGACCTGACTCAAGGGCACTCAACTAGAGATGTGGGGCTAAAGAGCTGGGGGGCACGCAGAGGGGGAGCCAGAGTGAAGCAGGGACCCATGGCGTCTGCAGAGCCTCAGCGGGCCACGGGCTGCCGGCTGCCGGCATCCTGCCCCCCCCCCCCACCGCCTGGGGGAGTGAAGAACGAGTCCCACGACCCAGGCCTCATCCGGGTCCTTTATTGCCCCTCAGGAGCCCTGGCCTACCCCCTGCACGGCGCCTGCCGCCCTTTGGAGGGTGGGGGGCAGTCAAGTGCAAAGCCAAACTCTGCCAGAGCTCCGCACCTCAAACTGGGTCAGGCCACTGCAAAGCCATCAAGGCCCCTGGGGAGGCCAGCAGCCAAAACTAGGTCCCTGGGCAGAAAGGTCCGAGGGCCAGTCCAGCATCTGGGCTGACCAGCACCAAACTCCCACCTGGGAAACCCAGCCAACAAGGCCTCTGACACATGGGTGTTCACTGAGCCACCAAGACACTGGGTGGGAGGGTGCGGCTGGGCACACCCAAGTGGTGGTAGAGTGCCACGGGTCACACCCCACCTGGTGGGATGGGGCACCAGACCAAACCAAGGCTTTAGAAAGCAACGGTCACGCCAAGTCCTTTCAGGGAACGAGGTCACGCAGAACCCCCCGTGGTGGCCCGTGCACCAAACACAGTCCTTCCTGGGGTGCGGCAGAGTCCACACTCCTGAACGGGTCCCTCCAAAGCCGACGAGACCCGCTGCGGTGCCCGAGCGAAGGCCGGCGGGCGGCGCTGTCTCACACGCTGATGGTGCGGAAGACGGTGAAGCCCGACAGGGCGGTGCTGACCAGCACGCCGGGGCACTGCGGGTGCCAGTGCAGCTCCTTGAGGTCGGTCTCGCCCTGGTGCACGAACAGCAGCTGCTGCGGGAGGTCCGCCAGCCCGGGCTCCGCCTCCGTCTCGCCAGCCTCCGGGTCCCGCTCCACGGCCAGGTCCCACTGCGTGATCTGGTTGTCTGCCCCCGAGGCTGCGAAGACCCCGCCGTCCTGGGGGTGCCACTGCACAGAGGTGATGGGGGCTATGTGCTGCTTGAAGGTGGCCACCGGGGAGCCAGACTGTGGGGAGAGGACAGGCGGGAGAAGCATGGGCCACCTCGGTCCAGGCAGGCCACCCCCACCCTGTGAGTCCCCACCCGCTCAGAGTCTAAAGGACAGAGGTCACAGTGCAGCTGGAAAGGAGGCCACTGCCCCAGGGGCTGCTGGGAATGGCAGTTTCCCTGCAGAGCGGCTACTCCCAGGTCCGGGTCACACACACCCAGTCCTGCTCCAACCCTGTGCTCGGCTTCCTGTCCCAGAATGGCTGTCACTGTTGCTGGTGTCATGCAGTCCATTCCCACTCACAGCGACCCCATGACAGAGCAGAACCGTCCCACGAGGTTTTCTGGGCCATTATCTTAACGGAAAAAGCCCTGGTTGTACAATGCTTAAGCGCTCGGCTGTGACCCAAAGCAGAGGTTGGAACCTGCCAGGGGCTCCGAGGGAGAAAGACTCTGATCTGTTTCCATAAAGAAGGCAGCCCCCCGTGCCCGCTGGGATCACAGGGTCGCCACGAGCTGAAATCCTTCAACCCGACGGCACATGACAGCAGACAGCAGTCTCTGCGGGGGCAGACCGCCAGGCCCGTTCTCCCGCGGAGCCGCTGGGCGGACAAACACGACACTCTGTAAGCGGCTGAGTGTGTAAGCCCCGCACCACCAGGCTGCTGGCTCGAGGAAGGAAGTGGGTGGTCTTCAAGCACAGTCTGGCCTCATGCTACGGAGGCCTGAATGCCAGGGGCAGGGCCAGGACTCGGGAGCTGCGGAGACAGCAGCCTGAGAGCGGAGGGTGGCCCGCTTCACCCCAACCACACGGGCTGCCGGAAGGGAGCGTTCTCTCCTCGGAAAGTGGCCCGAGTCCCAAGGGTCATCAACTCGGGCTGTGACCCAACCAGATCCTGCTCTCTCGGGGCCTCAGTTTCAATGTACCAAAAAAAAAAAAGGTGGGGTGGCGTGGGGAGAGGCCAGCATCCATCACTAGATGCCCCCTGCCCCAGGGATGACAGCACCAAATCCAGCAAGTCGGAGGAAAATGGGACTCCCCCCTGGCGGCCGCAGGGGCTGCGGGAGCCGGCTTTGTCTGGAGGGAGGCTGGACGCTGGACTCTGTCCCAGGCCCCCATCAGCTCAACCAACCCAGCTCCTAGCTCGGCTGCACGTTACACCTGCTCCTGTCCGTTCTGTGCCTCAGTTTCTCCTCCTGCAATGGGGAGCCCGCATTCCAATTCTCAACTGACTCTAAACTCCACTAAAACAGTTAAAAAAACCCCTACGATTCCCAGAGGCCCTTGAGGGCGTGGGCCTTGAGAGCAGCTTCCCTTCTGGCCCAGGGGCGGATGGGAGTAGAGGGGGCTGTGCCACCCACCTGCGCCGCCTCCGTCTCTGGTCAGTCACTTATCCCACAGGCCTGAGCCCAGCGGCCACACCCTCCCCTCATCTGTACCCAGAAGGGACGTGACGGTAACGTTCGGGGTCTTTCCAGCTCCAGTGGGATGCAGTCATTCCAGGAGGGAAAAGGCTGGAAGCCCCCGAAAGCCCCAGGGGCCTCGCCGCTGCTGGCCTTGTACCTTGAACTGTCGCAGGTCCCAGACCTTGAGGACCCCGTCATCACCGCCACTGAGCAGGAAGGGCTCGCGGCGACTCCAGCTGATGACGTTGACGTCCCCGTCGTGGGCGGCGGCTGTGGTGAGCATGCAGGCCTTGCTGGGGGCGGCCCGGACGTCCCAGATGCGGACGGAGGCGTCAGCTGAGCAGGAAGCGAAGACCTGGGGGAGGTGGGGGCTGAGTGACCCGGTGACCGACAGGAGCTCCGGCGGGGAGCGCCCCATCAGGGCCTGGGCTACGAGCGGGAATTCCGTCTGGGCCCCAGACCCCCCAGACCCAGGAGTCCAGTTCCCTCCTCCCAAGGCACCCAGGAAGCCAGGCCCTCACCGTGTCCTCGGTAGGGGACCACTGCAGGTCCTCCACGGAGCGCGTGTGGCCCACGAATGGCCGCTGGTCCACGTGCCAGGAGCCGCCGTCCGTGGGCGTCCAGAGGTGGATGTTTTTCTGGCAGTCACCTGTCAGCAGGCGGCCTGCGAGGAGGACGGAGCCACCTCGTCCCTCTGCCCCCAGCTCCCTCCCCTCCTACAGTCCGACCATCCAGCCGGCTGCCCCTCCCACCACCCAGCAGCCCTGCCCAGGGCCTCACCGGACACCCGGGGGGACCAATCGATGGCGAAGCCCTCGCCCATGTGGCCGGCGAAGGCAAAGATGGGTTTCACGCGGGCCTGCTCGTCCCGGAGGAAGGTCGCCAGGGCCTGGGGGTCGTCCACTGCCTGCAGCAGCCGCCGCAGCGCATACACCTCGACCTGGCCCTTCTCGGACCACACCCCCGCCACGGGCTCCTCGCCCAGCCACGACACCTGCAGGAGATGGGGCGGGGGGTGGTGGTAGAGCGGCTCAGCACCCCACAGCCAGAACTGTGGTTCTGCAGAGCCCTTGGGGGCTGGGACTGTGGCACCCAGAAACGGCCGAGGGCAGGGAGTCACAACGAGCAAGACCAGGTTGGGAACTGGGGCGACACCCCACCCTGGGACAGGAGGTGTGGGGGACAAGGCTCCGAACTCCCGGGAACCAAGCCACAGTTGCCACCACCCGGCGGGAGTGCGCTCAGACTGCTGCTCCCGTGACCCTCAGTGGTGCAGGGTCCCGGGCTCTCATCCTTGCCTCTGTATGTCTGCGCCCTCGGAGAGCCCGTCAGGTCTACGAGTTTCCAGAATCCCCCAGCCTGGCCCTCTCTCCCGAGCACCAGGCTCGAACCGCACTGACCCTTCAGAAGATGGTGCTAGCTGCGGTCGGTCCATTCCGACTCCCAGCCCCCACGCGTCAGAGCAGAACTGTGCGCCACAGGGTTTCCCAGGCCTTGACCTTTCTGGAGGAGCCGCTGGGTGGTCTTGAACCCCAACCTTCTGGGCAGCAGTGGAGTGCTTAACTATCTGTGCCACCCAGAGACTCATCCAAAGTTAACATGACCAGGAACCACCTCATAGTCGCAGACCATCACCTACATTTCCCCAGTCAGCTCCATCCCAGGCCCCAAAATGCAGACTCGTTCCTGACCGTCCTCACACCCAGCATCCTGGTGACAGCCACACGCACTGCTTCCAGTCCCCTCCCACCTCCTGTCGCCAGCACCCACAGAAGATGAAAGCTCACGTCCTGGTCCAAACATGGAAAGGCCGGACTGCGCAAGGATGGTTTAACAATTGCCTAACAAACTTTGGAGGCTTTAAAACTACTGCAAGTGCAGCACCCTTATTTCTACTCCTTATAATCATGCTCCCCGTGCACTCCCTCTAGCCCTAAGATCCATTAACTCAATTATCGAAACTGTGGTAGAGAGAAAAACTGCCTCTCGTATATTATAACTTCATAGATACAAACCCCTGAACCAAAGTTTGGAACAAATCATTCAGGAAGAAAGTGAGGCTCCTTAAAATTTAAACAGAATGAAGGAGCCTCAAAGCAGGGAATGGGGCAGGCCATAGGCAGCTTGTAAAACAAAAGAGGATGGGAAATTCCTCTAGTGATACTCCCCCTCCCTCCTTCTGCTCCTTCCCTTCACCTGCTTCTTCTGCCTATTGTAAAACTGCTAGCTAGGGTCCTCTGAAAGTAACCAATGGCCTCACAGCCCATAAATGTGGAAACAAGAACTTGTAAAAGCACCACACGGCCTTTGCTTGGGGCTCAGCCTCTGGATGTGAAGCCACTGAGCCTGGTGCTGGCACAATAAAGTCCTTCCTCTTCACCATCCTGCTTGGCATTAGCATTTCCCTTGGCGGCTCCTAACAGTGATATAAGTCGATTCCGACCCCCGGAGACCCCACGTGTTACAGAATACAGCCATACTCCATAGGGTTTTCATGTCCATAATCTTTAGGGAAGGTCACTGGATGGTCCAAATGGTTACACACTCAGCTACCAGCCAAAAGGTTGGTGGCTTGAACTCACCCAGACGTGCCCAGAGTGCAAACTATTTGTTTTACTAACTATAACCAACTGCTGTCGAGTTGATTCTGACCTGTGGTGACCACACGTGTATCAGATCAGAACTGCACCCTGAGATCTGACTTTTTGGAAATAGATAGCCAGACCTTTTGAGATGCTTTTCGGTGGACTTAACAGCTAAGCATGTTAACCACCTGCCCCGGGTGATCTGCTTCCATAAAGATGACCAAAACCACCAAATTCACTGCCACTGAGTTGGATCCAAGTCACAGTGACCCCCTTGGGTTTCCGAGATGGTATCCCTACAGAAGTAGATTGTCCAATCTTTCTTCTGAGGTGTGGCTGGTGAGTTTGAACCGCCAGCCTTCTGGTTAGCAGTCAAACGCCTTAGGCATTATGCCACTGGCCTAGAAAAACCCTGTGGGGCAGTTCCACTCTGTCCTCTAGGGGTACCAAGTCAGAATGGACTCCACAGCAGTGGGTTTGGTTTGGGCTTTGCTTCTCTTTAGACTGACAGCCTTGGAAACCCTATGGGGCAGTTCCACTCTGTCCTATAACATCCCCTCAAATCAGAACTGACTCGCTGGCAGTGGGCAGGCCACAACGAGGTGCCAGGGCAGGTATGGACACAGGGCAGGGGGCTATTGGACTCTGTACCCGGACTCTGTTGATGCCACCATAGTGAGGCACCATGGCCAGCTCCAGCTGAGGCTTCCTGTCTTCTTCATCTTCATCTTCCTCCTCCTCCTCTTCATCGCTGTCCTCTGAGGGAGGGGGCTTCGTCCCATGCAGGTTGTGCATTCGCAGGATCATGAGTCTGGGAGAGAGTGTGGGGTGAGCCACGGGAGGTCGGGCTCCTGAGGGAGGAAGGGGACCTTCCCATACTCTGGGCTTGTGCGAGGCAGAAGCTGAGGGCCCTAATTCTCTAGGTTCTGAGCAAGGAGGGGCTGGACACCCGGACCCCCGGGCCTCCTGCTCCCGGGCAAGCCCCAGCCCTCACCCACCTGTTGCTCTGGGCGCTCTCCGCCTGGGTTCCCGCGCACAAGTAAAGTGAAAGAGGAAGTTCTGTCCGGTTGTCTCCCAGGGGATCCCGGACTATATCGAAGCTGAGACAGGGGGCACCTGGGAATGGACGGAGATGGATGGATAGCACGGGGCTGAGAAATCTCAGCCCGGCCTCCCGCGAGACCTCAGTCTTTACGTCCAGAGAACAACTTAAGTTAAAGGGCCAGGGCCCTCAAGACCCAGAATTCCCATTCCTGCCTTCCTCGGGCCCAGGAGTCCGGGACGCCAGCCCTACCGGTCTGTGCTCGGTGGTACAACACGTAGGCCTCTTCGTCCATGACCAGCTCCTCCCCCTCGCGCAGCGGCGGTCCCCGGCCGGGCAGATAGACCTGGGCCGGGCCCTTGGACCCTCTGTCGCCGGTTTCTGCCTCCATGGGTTCCTCAGTTTCACATGTGCGTCGCCGACCCTCGCGCGCCGCCATCTTCGAACCCACTCACTGCCCGCGCGAGTTAAGAGCGTCACGTCCGGGTTGCGCTTTCCACATTTGCTGAGGCGGGGTGGTCTGCCCCCCACGCGGTTACCTTGGAAACCTCCCCGCTTCACCAATGAGAGAGGGCGAAGGGGGCGGAGCAAAGGAAAACTAAGGTGAAGGCGTGCACGCCAAGCGAGAAGGACTTGCGGACCTGGGGAAACTACAATTCCCGCGTGACGTTACAGCGCCTGGAAGCGTAACAGTGACGCCGCCTCCCGGCCTCCTGGGAAGTGTAGTTTTATAGGAGATCGGTTTCTCTATCTCCGGGAGGAGCTCCGAGCCCCGACTCCATCTTCCACCTTTCCTCTCCAATATTTTCTATCTTATTCATTAGAGCTGCGGTTGCGTAGTGCCTAAGGCACTTGACTGCTAACCAGAAGGCTGGCGGTTCAAACCCACCAGCCACTCCTTGGAAGGAAGATTGGGCAATCTACTTCCGTAGAGATACCGCCTCAGAAACCCAAGGCGGGGTCGCCATGAGTCAGTCTCACTCGATGGCACATAACAACAGTCTCATTAATTATTCATGAAATGCAAATTAGTGATCTTCCGGGCAAGGACTAGATCTCTCCTCCCTGAGGACCCTGTTATGATGGGTTTAATTTATTTCAAAATCCTTCAGCATAGAAAGATATTGTGTATAATTAATTAGTTGAATCTGTCACTTGGCTAACCAGGCATTCACACTGCAGTGGTGGTCCCTGTGGAGCAGACCAAACCGAACCCATGAAGTCAATTGACTCATAGCAACCCTACAGGTCAGAGCAGAACTGCCCCATGGGGTTTCTAAGCTGTAATCTTCACGAAGCCGACTGCCTCATCTTTGTCCCAGGCAGCATCTAGTGAGTTGGAAAGGCCAATCCTACCCTTAGCAGCCTAGCACTTAATGACTGAGTCACCAGAACGCTGAGTTAATCAGAAAGTCCACCCTCTGGAGGCCTCTCTCGCAAGCGCTTCAGCTCCCATAGTCCATCAGCCCCAGAGATTTGGCTAATTGGTGTAATCAAATGTCAGCAATAGGTTCTCACTGGTGACAGCAAAGGCATTCAAGACGTGTGGATGGGCTGGCATATATCAGAGAACCTCTCCTGGCTTTCTTGAACACGATGTTAACAATTTAGCAATCCCTGTCCCCGTAGCCCTAAGAATGGCACCTTCAGTTTGCTCCTAAAATGTCTTGTGTCTGGGATCTTTCTCACCCCTGTCTGGGATCTTTCTCACCCCTCTCTGGGTCCTGCCCTGCCCTCTCTGGTTCTCTGCAGTGGTGTAGTCCAAAGGTGCACCAGGTAAGACCCACTAGCTAATCACTCCTGCATCCCCAAGCTGGGGTATGAGACTGGTTGGGGCAGGGCTAGGCTTCTGGGTCTCTATGTCTCTGCCATCATCTCTCTGGGTCTCTACACCCCTTTCTCTAGGTCTCTGTCCACCTCTCTCTGGGTCTGTGTCTCCCCCCACCCAAGCCTCTGTCCTCTTCTATCTCTGATTCCTCTCCCCTTCTCTCTATCCCTCTCTCTCTGAGTCTCTCACCTTCTGTGTCTAGGTGTTCGTCCCCTCCTCTGGCTCCCTTCCACAGTCTCTGTTCTCTTTTCAAGTCTCTTTCTGTACCCTTCCTTTGTGAGACGTTCCGGTTTCTGTTTCCTGTAGAAAATTGTGAGAGGCTAAGAGTTTGTCGCACTGTGGTGGTCTGTGTGTTGCTGCGAGGCTGGAGGTTATGCCACTAATATTTCAAACACCGGCAGGATCACCCACGGTGGATGGGTTTCAGCAGAGCTTCCAGACTAAGACGGACTCGGAAGAAGGACGTGGTGGGCTACTTCTGAAAAACGTGGCCACTGAACACCTTATGAACAGCAGTGAAACGCTGTCTGATATTGTGTGGGAAGAGCAGTCCCTCAGGTTGGAAAGCACTCAAAATATGACTGGGGAAGAGCTGCCTCCTCAAAGTAGAGTTGACGTGAGTGACGTGGATAGAGTAAAGCTTCTAAAGCCTTCATCTGCTGATGTGTTGACTCAACATTAGAAGAAACAGCTGTAAACATCCATTAATGATTGGAACATGGAATGTATAATTGCCTGATTTTCCTTCTGAGGACTGGCTGGTGGGTTTGAACTGCCAGCCCTCTGGTTGGCAGTCAAATGCCTTAGGCACTAAGCCACCAGAGCTCCTGTACAAAGTATGAATCTAGGAAAACTGGAAGTTGTCAAGAATGAAATGGAATGGCTAAAGATCAATATCCCAGGCATTAGTGAGCTGAAATGGACTGGTATTGGCCATTCTGAATCAGGCAATCATATGGTCTCCTATGCCAGGAAGGACAAACTGAAGAGGAATGGCTTCACATTCATCGTCAAAAAGAACATTTATCTGTCCTGAAGTATGATACTGTCAGTGATAGGATAATATCCATACACCTACAAGGAAGACCAGTTAATACAACTATTACTCAGATTTATGCCCCAACCACCAAAGCCAAAGATGAAGAAATTGAAGATTTTTACCCACTTCTAGTCTGAAACTGACCAAACATGCAATCAAGTCATATTGATTATTACTGGTGACTGGAATGAGAAAGATGGAAACAAAGAATCATCGGTAATTGGAAAATTTGGTCTTGGTGATAGAAATGATGTTGGAAATGATATGATAGAATTTTGCAAGACAGCCACTCCTCAGAAGGAAGGTTGGGCAATTTACTTCCATAGTGATACTGCCTCGGAAACCCAAGGAGGGGTCGCTATGAGTCAAGTCAAGTCAATGGCAGTGACTTTGGTTTGGGCTTTGCTTCCAGTGGGTGTGGTTTGGGCTTTGCTCCCATAAAGACTGACAGCCTTGGAGACCCTGTGGTGCAGTTCCACTCTGTCCTCTAGGGGCGCTGTGGGTCAGAATCCCCTCCAGGCACTGGGTTTGGTTTGGGCTTTGCTTCTGTGAAGGTAGGAGCTCTGGTGGTGCAGTGCCTAAGGCATTTGACTGCTAACCAGAAGGCTGGCGGTTCAAACCCACCAGCCACTCCTCGGAAGGAAGGTTGGGCAATCTACTTCCATAGTGATACTGCCTCGGAAACCCAAGGAGGGGTCACTGTGAGTCATCTCCGACTCGACGGCACATAACAACAATGACTTATTCATTGCAAATACCTTTTTTCAACCACAGAAACAGTGACTATGCACTTGGACCTCACCAGATGGAATACACAGGAATCAAATCAACATTTGTGGAAAAAGACGATGGAGAAACTCAGTATCATCAGTCAGAACAAGGGCAGGGGCAGACCATGTAACAGATCATCAACTGCTCACATGCAAGTTCAAGTTGAAGCTGAAGAAAATTAAAACAAGTCCAAGAGAGTCAAGATACAAACTTGAATATATCCCACCTGAATTTACAGACGACCTTAAGAACAGATTCGATGCACTGAACACCAATGACCGAAAACCAGACAAATTGTGGGATGACATCAAGAACATCATCCATGAGGAAAGCAAGAGGTCAATAAAAAGACAGGGAAGGAAGAAAAGACCAAAATGGGTACCAGAAGAGACTCTGAAACTTGCTCTCAAATGGAGAGTAGCTAAAGCGATTGGGAAAAATGACAAGATCAAAGGGCTGAACAGAAGATTTCAAAGGGCAACTGGAGAAGACAAAGTAGTGTAGTGAAATGCACAAAGAATTACAATTAGAAAATTAAAAGGGAAGAACATGGTGGAAGTTTCTCAAGCTGAAAGAATTGAAGAAACATTCAGGCCTCTAGTTGTACTACTGAAGGATTCTATGGGCAAAAACTGAGTGATGCAGGAAGCATCAAAAGATGGAAGGATGATACAAGGTCACTGCCCCAAAAAGAATTCAACTATTTCAGGAGGAAACATATGATCAAGAACCAATGGAAGGAAGGAAGAAGTCTAAGCTGCACCAAAAGAAATGGTGAAAAACGAGGCTCTGGGAATTGAAGCAAGACCCACTGAGATGTTTCAACAAATGGATGCAACACTGAGAGCACTCCTTCATTTATGTCCAAAATTTGGAAGACAGCTTCCTGGCCAGCCGACTGGAAGAGGTCTCTATTTGCGCCCATGCTGAAGAAAGGTCATCCAACAGAATGTGGAAACTATCAACCAACATCACTCATATCACATACCAATAAAGTTTTGCTGAAGATAATTAAACAATGGTTGCAGCAGTACATGGGGAGGGAACTTTCAGAAATTCAAGCTGGATTCATAAGAGGATGTGGAACGAGGGATATCATTGCTGATGTCAGATGGATGTTGGCTGAAAGCAAACACCAGAAAGGTGTTCACCTGTGTTTGACTGACTATGCAAAGGCATTGGACGGTGGATCATGACAAATGATGGGTAACACTGTGAAGAAGGGGAATTCCAGAACACTTACTTGTGCTCATAAGAAACCTATACGTAGACCAAGAGGCTGTCGTTTGAACAGAACAAGGGGACACTGCATGGTTTAAAGTCAAGAAGGGGGTGTGTCAGGGTTGTATCCTTTCCCCATACTTATTAAATCTGTATGCTGAGCAAATAATCTGAGAAACTGGACTATATGAAGAACGTGGCATCAGGATCGGAGGAAGACTCATTAACAACCTGCGATAGGCTGATAACACTACTTTGATTGCTTAAATTGATGACTTCAAGCACTTACTGATGAAGATCAAAGATTACTGTCTTCAGTATGGATTATACCTCAACATTTAAAAAAAAAAAAGGTCCTCACAAATGAACCAATAAGCAACTTCGTGTTAAACAGAGAAAAGACTGAAGTTCTCAGGGATTTCATTTTCTTTGGATCCACAATTTATGCTCGTGGAAGCAGCAGCCAGCTGGTCAAACAATGTGTTGCTTTGGGTAAACCTGCTGCAAAGGACCTCTTGAAGTGTTAAAAAGCAAACATGTCACTTTGGAGACTAAAGTGCACCTGACCCAAGCCATGGTATTTTAATGGTCTCCTATCCATGTGAGAGCTATTAAAGGAATAAGGAAGACCGAAGAAGAGTTGATGCCTTTGAGTTGTGGTGTTGGCCAAGAATATACCATGAACTACTGGAAGAGTGAACGAATCTGTCCTGGGGGAAGTGCAGCTGGAATGCTCTTTGGAAGCGAGAAGGGCCAGACTTCATCTCACCTCCTTGGACCATTCCCTGGAGAAGGGTATCCTGCTTGGAAAAGTGGAGGGGCAATGAAAGAGGGGAAGGTCCTCAGTGAGATGGGTTGGCACGGTGGCTGCAACCATGGCCCGGGTATAGCAACGACTGAGGCTGGTGCAGGACCAGGCACCGTTTCCTTCTGTTGCACTTTCTGTCGTCGCTGAGTCAGAGGTGACTTGAGGCCACCTAACAACGAGACAGACACCGAGCTTAAGCTGGGGTTGAGGAGGAGTTAAAAACATCGTTTATTCCAAACACTGCGATGAGGGAACAAGAGAGTGGGAAGGGAGGCTGGAGGTGAAGTACGGACTCCCAGACCCTCCCCTCCACCACCCAGCCCCAGACCCGGCTGGGGACGCGGAAAGAGGAGGCTCGTGGCGGTCTGGTGGGTGGTGACTGCGGGTTCGCGAATAAGAGTTGGAGTTGAGAGGACGTGGTTGGTGGCACCTGGAGCGGGTTGGGAGGGACCGAGGGAAATCTGGGCCTGAAGGGAGGGGGAGGGGTCGCAGCGGGAAAGAAGGCGGGGCTTCCGTTGGGGGCGTGTTCTAGGTGAAAGTGGGGCGAGAGGAGGAGGAGGAGGCAGAGGTGTCAGGGCTGGGCGTCCAGGGTCACAGTCTGGTCGGGGCAGAGTCTGGGGGTCGGGTCACAGTTTGGGGTCAGGGGTCACAGTCTGGGGTCGGATGACCATTTTAGGGGTCGGAAGTCACAGTCTGGGGTCCAGGGCTTCCGTGTGGCGGGGCCAAGGTCTGGGGTCACAGTTTGGCGAACGCGTCTCACAGTTTTGAGTCCTGATGGATGAAAGGTTAAAAACGGGCTTCCCCGGAGGCGTGGCCGGGGCCGGGGAGCTGCACAGTGATGTGGGGGCCACGGCCCCGGGCGCAGGGGCGGGGCGCGGGCGGGCGCGTCCCTCCCCCACCTCTCGCCCCATCCGGCGACAATAAAAAGCCCTTGTCGGGTTTAAAAAAAGTCCGGTGGGCTCCAAGAGCCCCGGCCCTCGCTGTCCACTGCTGAGTTGGGGGAACCAAGTCCCCCGCGGCCCGCGAGTTCCCCAAAGGCGAAGGGGCTGCTCCAGGCGGGGCCCGGCCAGTTCTGGGTCGTCCCTTGTCGAGCCCCGCGGGTCCCGTCCGCTCCGCGCGCCCCCTCGGGCCGTGGCCTGCGCTGACCGAGGGGGCGCTGGGGGCCCCGGGCCGCGTCATACCTCCGACTCCAGGCTGGAGAAGTGCGCGGAGCCCCTGCGGGTGCCCAGC